CAGGAAATCTGCAAAGTGCTGGATGCCAAGAACTGCGACTGGGAGCAGTGGGGGTGCTTCTTGCTTTCTGCGGCCGGGCGATGGCACATGGGAGCCTCGTGCAGTGGCAGATGGCGGTGACCGTTCTCTGGCGGGGGTCTGGTTTAGCAGATATCAGGCGCATCCAGAGCCTTCAAATATATCACATCCAATATAGCCAGTGAGCTGCAGCTGTACCAGTAAATATGGTGTGAATAAGTAATGATTAAAGTTATTTTCTGCTGAACACTGAAGGAAATACATAGAAAATTTAGGCATAACGTCTGCATCTTCTAGTCGTGGCGGTTAGAGTCTGAGACAGGAGCATACCTGGCAGCGAGAGGCGCCTTCTTTCCAGGAGACACTGCATGGGGGCGCGGCCGTGCACCCGTCCCGATGAGCTGGGGCCCGTCTCCAGCAGCCTCTGCCTGGGTGTGTGAGAGTGGACCGCGCGTGTGAGGCCGTGTGCCTGAAGCTTCTCCTACACTGGCAGCCGGGGCGGACTACCTCTGGAGACCGCTGCTGCTAAAACATGACAGTTGCCATGGAGGAAACACTGAATTACTACTGCTAAATCCACCTGAAGACCAGTTGATAATTAACACAGGGTTACAGTTCATGCCTGTGCCTTATGTTTCCTATTTTATAAAAGATTTACATTTAACTTCGTGAATATGGCTTGTGTGTGTTCTTCTAAGTAGATTCACAAATAATTTTAAAATCGCTTCTTCTCAGTTAAAAAAAACCAAACAGAATCACCCTGGCAGTTGGTTGCACGAGACGGAGTCAGTTAAACTGACGAACCCCATCACCCGGCCAGGTCTCAGCGAGTCAGGACTATTCCGTCCCCTGGGTTGGTCAGACTGGAGATGATCTGCGTGGTCCACCAGGGGAACATGTTGTTGGAAATATAATTCTAATGGTCAAGGGAAGTGACCAGATGCTCCACGCCACGGGTACTAGACCACACCTAAAAGTGAGAAGAACAACAAGTGATGTGCACCCACTTGATCCCAGTACCTGCATCTGTCAATAGATGCGGAGGAGAAAGAAGAGACATAAATTCCACTAGCAGAAATCGCTGCTCAGTCTATCCGGTCCTTTAGCAGAGGAGCTTCCATGGGATGGGAAACAGTCACCATCAATGAGTACCTAGGGAGGAGAAGTGGTTACGTAACTACAACAGGGCAGCAATCCGTATCCCTAAGGGCGTGGGCTACTCCCTACGCGCACTTGTTACACTCTCCAAACGACAATGATAGAGACCATCACTTCAGTATCATAGACATATGGACAGGCAATCCATGGGCATAAAAGACGGATGGATAAGACGGATTACTGCGAAGCATCCGGGATTTTAAGGCGAGAAACTGGATCCGGGCGATCGGGCGCTCGTGGGGGGGGAGGAGCTCCTATCCCCTTCTGGGGGGGCCTCCCAGAGTGCTAGGATTACAGGCGTGAGCCACCGCGCCCGGCCTGCTGTGGGTTTTTGGTGGTGTTTTTTCATTACAGAAAACAACAGTCTTGAAACTATGACATTTACCCTAAAGGTGTAAGCAAGTTGTGGGCAAGTGGGAAACGAAACCCAGCTTCAAAACCCAAGTTCAATGCTAAGCCCATCTCACTGAAAGGGGAGAAAGTCCCTGCAGGTGTGAGCATGCCTGGGACAGGCTGGGGACTCTGCCAGTTGCAGTCGTGGCCCAAGCACGTGAATTTGGGTTTGAGGGCCTCTCTCTGGAAGGGTCTCATGCCCAGGTCATCTCTTAGCTGGAGATGGTGTCATAGGCTTTTGTTCTAGCACTGTTTCTTTTGCTGGCCCAGGAATCCTATTTCTTCTCTTTTCAATTCCCGTTGTTTTCTTGGGCTCCGTCGCTGGTTGCTCACAGGGTCTTACAGAGTAGCCGTCTCCTGCTGTCCCCGCCAGAGCGCCCGCTCTGCTTCCCCCGTGCCTTCCCGTCTGGAGTCTGCTGCTGTGGGTGACCCAGTCTGCTGTTTTCCAAAGGCTCCTTCCTGGTTTTGTGCTTTTAGAAATAATCTGATGGTATCTTGACTCCTTCCTGAGTTTGGGGTTGATGTCCTAGAAGTTCTGCCACATTCATTTCTGAGTCCCTTTACATTGCCCATTTCTGGAGTGTGCCCCAAGGGAAAAATGGTGTCATAATAGACTCCCCGAGAACCTTAATCAAATCTGTCCAGGTCTCAGACCCTCAGGTGGTGTAGCCTATACCAGTGAAATTTTGTCCAGTCTTTTGTCACTTTGGGGCAGAGGAGGTTTTCTCAGTTTGTGGTGAAGCTTTGGTTTTAGCTCCAAAGGGATCAACAGGAGTACACCACGTTAGGTATTGGCTAAAAAGATACATATTTGTGTAGGGGCTTGTTTTCTAATTTTCTGATATTTTCCTTCGGGGTAGCAGACCTCATTCATTTCAATTACTGGTGTTTCAATTCCTGTCTTCTGAGTGTTTCACTGAAGGAAGGTCAAAGGAGTCGCCAGTGGACATTAAATGTCCCCTGAACAGGGCTTGTACCTGAGTGTTTGGAGGTTCCCCGAGGCACCGTCCTGCCACGCTCCTCTTCCCCAGGGCCCCTGGGCTCTTGACGCAGCCATGCCCACCCTGGAGCGCCAGGCCTCACAGCACCGGGTCGCCCAGGTGGGCGCAATAGTAGAGTCCCATCTGTAGAGTGTTGGCAAGAAACGTACCAGGAGCAGCACGAGGCCTGGAGAGCTGACCCTCTGTGCTCAGACCTCTCTACCCTGTCTCAGGGCAAGGCAGCCACGACTCTTATCCCCTCTTGCTGACTGCCTGGCGGACGGCAGCTGCTGCTCTCCCTGCTCCTCAGTGAGACCTCTGCACCCCTCCCTCCCACTGCGACTCATCCTCGCATGCCTCCCTTGGTGGCCTTGAGAGCCATCGGGCCATATTCTTTGCCTTCTTCCAGCTGCAGGCTACCTCTCACTCCATCCCACCTGCATTCTGTTCCCTATGGAATAGAAAAATGTCCTATGCTTTAGAGATAAGACAAATTGGAGCTCCAAGAGGGCAGTCTTGTCAAGATCACGCACAGTTGGAAGTGTGGAAGCCCCTTGGAACTGGGCCTCAACACCACAGATGCCTCCGGGGGTTCCCGATATCCAAGAGTTCCCCTGAGGTCGGGTGACCCTAGGGCCGAGGAGAGCTGTCTGATCCTGCCCCCCTCTACACCCCCACCCTGTGCACGTGGCCAGAGGCTTCCACGGTGATGGTAACCAAACCTCACGTGCTGCCTCTGCCATGACTTCCATGTCCCTGCTCCTCCCGTTTGTGCTAAATGTGCAGATGTGATAAATAGGGGCAAGGGGAGATGGAGCCAGACGTGGGGGCCGCACTCTGGGAGGAGAAGCTACTTGGAGTCAGACAGGCCTGTGGGCTCTGAAGCTCTGAGATCAGGGGCTTCCCACCTTGGGAGCTGGGCAGCAGTGCCCAGGGGAACGGGGTTGGGGTCCAGGCTTCTCTAGGGCAGAATCTAGGCATGGTTTGGAGCATCCTGGCATTTATGTGTTCCCAGCAAGCAGAGCTAAGAGCAGCTGGAGAGGAGATTGGGTGCTAGAAGTTTGTCTGAGGACAGGGGGGACAGCTGGGTAAATGCGGGTCTCCCAGGCACTGGAGGAGCAGAACAGACACCCCGACACTTCTGCAGGGACAGCGCCACAGGACTCAAACATGGGATGTAAGTAGAAAAAAATATTTTTTAAAGTATTGTTTCAATATCCACAGCACTCATTCACACACTTTTAAGAGGCCAACAACTCTGCGTGGCTCCGCTTCCTCTCTCTCCTGTCTGCTCTCAGACAAAAACATTGTTAATAATTTGATCTTTTCCTTTTTTAAAAAAAAAAAATCTCCCTCAGCTCTCTCTTTATCTCATGCTTTACTCCTGATATTTCTTCCTTAGTGTCTTGTATCTCCACATTTGCTCTTGCTTTTAGCCTAAGGGATTGCTTCCAAAAATATTTGGTCATACTTTCCATTCATCCTTTTGGAGCATTTTTAATTTTTTTTTCCTCCCCTCCCTGCAGAGCAATTTTTTTTTTAATGAGTATTTTTTCTTTTTTGTCAACCATTTCTTTTTCTTCTTCCTGTCTTTCTTTTTCTGGTAGCATCTTTGATTAGAGCGTGTGCGCATCCCCTTTTGATAACTCATATTCGCATGAGTTGCGTTTCGCTATAAAAGGTTCATGGTGGTCGTGTCCCAGGCTCTAATGTATTTTACTGTGATTCCAGATTTTGTGTGTGGTTATTTTTACTCATCTGAAAGAAAATGAAATAGATAGTCTATAAATGAGAGGTTTTATAATAGGTATGTAAGCTATACTGAGTACTAATAAAACAAAAAAACACTATACCCACCTCTCAGCTTAAGCAATAAAGTGCTACAGTTATTATTTTTTCTAATTGTCTTGTCTTTGTCAGACAACTACCCTTATTCTTAAGGGCCTCTGTGTGCCCCAAACATCTCCCTTGTTCACACCTGGGGTAACCATTAATTACCCTGATGTTTATGCTTATTAGTCACTTGCATATCTTTATAGATTTACTACATTTTTTATATGAATTCACAGAATTCATTAGCTTCTTTTGCATGTCCCTGAATATTATATACAAATGATTCTGTTTGTTTGTGTTGCTATTGCTCAGGAACGCTACACAATAAACCATCCCAAGACTCAGGGGGATGCCACAGTAAACATTTATTCCACGGCTGTGTGACTAGGGGACGGTGGGGCTCGGCTGGGCTTGGATCTAGATCTACGACACATCTGGGCACAGCCTGGATCTCTTTACACCTACGCCTCCCAGAAGCATGTTCTTTGAGGGGCAAAAGGCAGAAGCACAAGAAAACAAGACCAAGAGGGTCACGGCGGGTCGCGAGGGGCCGCCGGCCTCCCTGGGGGCAGCAGGGCCAGGCCCGTCCAAGGGAAGGAGGGAGCTCGGGCGCCTGCCAGGCCCTGCAGGTGGCCGGGTCGCAGGCCAGCCGCTGGAGCGGGAGCGGAGCGGTAACCTGACCCCCTGGCGACAGTAGCTGGTCGGTTGCTGGAGGCTGGGGCTACTCATGGCCGAAGGGGCCGGGTTTGGGACACTCAAGGCCTCCAGGAGACGTGTCTTGGGCCAGGCTCCTGGAGGACTGGCAAGTAGGTAGGGGCTCCGTGGCCTTTGGTGGCAGTAAGGAGGAGGGGGCTCCAGAGACCCGAGAGTCTGGTTTGGGAAGGAAGGTGCGCCAGGCTGCAACTGGAGTCAGTGAAGTGTTGGATGAAGTAGACCTTACTCCCGATATGGCTTGTGGACAGCAGAAGATCCAGTCTCAGCAGAAAAATGCCAAAAAGCAAGCTGGACAAAAGAAGAAACAAGGACATGATCAAAAGGCTGCTGTCAAAGCTGCCTTAATATATACCTGCACTGTTTGTAGGACACAAATGCCAGACCCTAAGACCTTCAAGCAGCACTTTGAGAGCAAGCATCCTAAGACTCCACTTCCTCCAGAACTGGCTGGTGTTCAGGCATAAAGTTGTTTACAGGTGAATTCATGACACCTTTGACTCTTCTACTGTCTCAGACCTTAGGTAACAAACCTGCAGCTGCTTTTCTAACAAACTGTTGATCAGCAAAAATAAAGGGGCTACAGAAACACTCATTTTTATGCTGTTCCCTTTTGGGCTTCATGCAAAGACAATTCTGTGTAAATGTACAGTTGACTCTCATTTGGAAACCTGAAAATCAGTCCATCCTTGTTATAAAAAATTTTTTTTACAATTGTAATTATATTGATGTTCATATTGTGTAAAATAACTCATTTAATAAAGTAGTGCTTTGATTTTACAACAACAACAACAAAAAAAAGAAAACAAGACCAAGCTTATAAGCACATTTTAGCTTTTGTTTGTGTCATGTCAACTAATCACATTGACCAAAGCAAGTCATATGACTTAGCCAAAGCCAAATAGTGTCACAAAATTGCATTGTGAAATTGTTCCATGTTGGACTATGTAGCCATAGTTTATTCATTTTCACTGAGGTATGGTATTTTATTGTATAGACTACACTACAATTTATTTTCCATCATTCTTTTTTTTTTTTTTTTTTTTTTTTTTTTTTTTCATTCTTTTTAAATTTATTTCAGATATTATGGGCTACAAATTTTAAGGTTTCAAATAATGCCTTGCCTTTCCTCCCCCACAATCTGAGCTGCAAGTGGACTGACCATCCTCCCAGACAGTGCATATACTCACTCATTAGTAAGTATATACCCGTTCCCCTTCCCCCTCACACCTGCCATACCCAGATTAATGTAGTCCCTATGTGTCCACTTAGGTGCTGCTCAGTTAATACCAATTTGCTGGTGAGTATATGTGGGTGCCTTTTTTTTCCATTCTTGGGATACTTCACTTAGTAGTATGGGGTTCCAGCACTAAACCAGGAAAATACAAAGATGTGCTATATCACCGTTGTTTCTTAGAGCGAATGAGTCTCCATGGTATACATTTATACCACATTTTATTAATTCCACTCCTGAATTGCATGGGCGCTTGGGTTTCCACACTTTGCAATTATTGAATGTGCTGCTATAAACATTCGAGGTTGCAGTGTCTTTTTTGTAGAGTGTCATTGGATCTCTTTGGGTAGATGGCCCAGTAATGGGATGCTGGATCAAAATGGTAGATTTCACTTGTATCACTTTAAGGTATCTTCCATATTGCTTTCTCCATAGAGGTTGAACTAGTTTGCAGGTCCCACCAGGCATGGTAGGCGTGTTCCCTCTCTCTGCATCCATGCAACATCTATATGTTTGGGGATGTTTTGATAAAGGGCCATTCTTACTGGAAATAAGTGATATCTCATTGTAGTTTTGGATTTGGTATTTCCCCAGAATGATTAGAGATGTTGAGCATTTTTTCATATTGTTTGTTAGCCATTATTCTGTCTTCTTTAGAAAAGTTTCTGTTTCATGTCCTTTGCGCACTTCTTGGATAGGGTTGGTCTTGATTGTTTTTCTTGCTGATTTTCAACGGAGTTCTAAGTAGATTCTGAGTGTTATCAGCCCCTTATCAAGATGTGGTAGGATGTGAAGATTTTCTCCCATTCTGTAGGTTGTCTGGTTTACTTTCATGACGTATTTTCTTTGGCTGGCAAGAAGCTTTTTAGTTTTGATCATGTCCATTATTATTTTTGTTGCTGTTGTGATTGTCTTTGAGTCTTCTTCATCAAAATTATTTGGCCTAGGCGATGTCTTGGGAGAGAGGTGTTCCAACACTTTCCTCTTAGATCCTAATAGTTTCATACCTTATGGTTTAAAGTCTGTTAGTCCAGCGTGAGTTGATTTTTGGTGAGAGGTGAAAGGTGTGGATCCTTCTACAAGTGGCTAGTCTAGTTTGTTCCAGCCCCATTTATTGAAAAGAGATTCTGTTTCCCAGAGTATGTTTTTTGTCTGCTTTGTCAAAGATTTAGGATGGGCTATATTGAAGGATGGTTTTATATCAGGGTTCTCAGATCTTGTTGCACTGGTCAATATTCCTATTTTGTGCCAATACCCATATTGATTTAATTACTACAGCTTTGTAGTATTAGTTTGATATCTCGGCATCTTAATACCTCTCATTTTGTTTTTATTGCTAGAATTGTTTGGATCATGCAGAGTCTTGCTCTGGTTCCAAACAAAGCGTAAAATTATTTTTCCATTATCTGTGAAGAATGATTGATGGGGATTTTAATGGGTATTGCATGAATTTGTAGATCAATTGGGTAGTATAGACATTTTCAATGATGTTGAGTCTGCCGATCCATGAGTCATGGATGGATTTCCATACTGTTGACATTCCTCTCTATTCTTTCCTCAAGTGTTTCATAGTTCTCCCTATAGAAGTCTTTTACCTCCTTGGTTAAATATATTCCTAGGTACTATTATTTTCTTTGTGGGGCTATTGTGAAGGGTATTGAGTCTTTTTTTTGATTTTGGTTCTCAATTTGGTTTTGTGGCATATATGAATGCCTCTGATTTCTGTGTATTGATTTTGTATCCTGAGACTTTAACTAAAATTCATTTATCATATTCCAGGGATTCTTGTTGAATCCTTGGGTTTTCTAATATAATGATCTATCATCAGCAAAAGAGGAAAGTTTGATCCTTCTGCCTCAATTGGAACCTTTATTCACTTTCCTGTCTGATTGCTGTTAGCCAGGAAAACTTCTAGCACTATGTTGAATAGAAAGTTGAGTTAAGTGGCAGCCTTGCCTGGTTCCAGTTCTAAGTGTAAATGCTTTCAATTTTTGTCCCCATTCAGTATGATGTTGGCTATGGGTCTGTCGTATTATGGCATGTATCATTTTTTTTTTTTTTTTAGGTATGTCCCTTCTATGCCTATTTTATTAAGTGTTCTTATATGAAAGGGTATTGAATTTTGTCAAAAGCTTTTTCTGCATCATTAAAAAGGATCATATGGTCTTTGCTTTTGCTCTCTGTTTATGTGCGTGAATTACATTATAGATTTACATATGTTGAACCATCCTGCATCGCTGGATGAAGCCCACTTGGTCGTGATGGGATTATTTTTTGATAAGGTCTGGATTCGGTTAGCTAGGATTTTGTTGAAAATTTTGCATCTATATTCATAAGGGATATTGGTCTGTAGTTTTCTTTTTTTGTTGCATCCTTTCCTGGTTTTGGTATCAGAGTAAGTTCGCTTCATAAAAGGTGTCGGGGAAGTTTCCAATTCTTCTCTCGATTTGTGGAATAGCTTCTGCAAGATAGGCACAGTTTCTTCTTTGTAAATGTTGTAAAATTCGGGTATGAAACCATCTGGGCCAGGACTTTTTTTTTAGGGAATTTTATATTGCTGTTTATATTGGCTCTTGATATTGGTCTTCTTCAGGAATTCTATTTCTTCCTGGTTGAGTCCAGGGAGGCTGTGTGTTCTAGAAATTTGTACCAATTTTCCCACATTTTCCAGTTTGTGCTTAAGGTTTTTGTAGTATTTGTAAATTATATCTTGTATTCTCCTTGGGATCAGTTTTTGGTGTGTGATATCTCCTTTTTGTTCCTGGTGAGTGATTAGAGATTTCTCTTTTTCTGCTTATTGTTAGCCTAGCAAAGTGTGTCAATTTGTTTATTTTTTCAAAGAACCAACTTTTTGTTTTATTAGTCTCTGTATAGCTTCCCTGTTGTCAATTTCGTTTAGTTCTGATTTGTCTTGTTAATTTAACTTCTTCCAATGGTTTGGGAGTTGGTCTATTCTTCTTTTCCAGCTCTTTGGAGTTGATTCATTAAAATTGTTTATGTGTGATCTTTTGACTTTTGGTTATAGGCATTTTATGGAAAATAAACTTTCCTTCAGTACTGCTTTAGCTGTATTCCCAGAGGATTTGATAACTTGTCTCGTCATTGTCATTTGTCAAAAGAATTTTTTTTATTTTCCATCTTGATTTCTTCATTTATGGAAGTAATTATTTATTAGAAGGTTTAATTTCCACATTTTGTGTAGAAATGTGAGTTTCTGTTAGGGTTGATTTTACTACTTTTATTCCACTGTGATCTGAGGAAGATACATTGGTATGATTTTCTATTTTTTTAAATTTGTTGAGCTTAGTTTGTGTCTTTGCTTTGTCTTACTTTGTGTCCTCCCCTTGCTTGTACTGTTTCGTTGAGAAATCTGCTTTTATCCTTGATCGGTTTTCCTTTTTATGTAAACTTGCTTCTTTCGCTTACAGCTTGAAGAGGTCTCTTTTGGGTTGATATTCTTTGGTCAGTCTGATGACTATGTGTCGTGAAGTTTTCCTGTTTGCATTGTATCTCCAGGAGTCCTTTTGGCCTCTTGTATTTCTAATTCTAAGTTATTTGCTAGACCTTGGGAAAAATTTCCTCAATCTATTCTTCAAATAGCTTATCCATTCCCTTGGTTTTTTTCTTCTCCTTCTCCAGAATCCATGGACCTCTTTGTATAATCCCACAATTCTTGTAAGCTTTGGCTGCATGTCTCTTATCTCTTCTTCTCTAAACATCTGTGACTTACACTTACAATATTGATTTGAACAGGGTGTTGTCTTCCAATCTCGGATTTTTCTTCTGTTTAGTCCCACCCCTATTTTTGGACAGCTTCCCTACCAAATTGCTCGTTTTGTAATAATATCCCCTGGAAAACAGTCCTCTATTTCCAGGAGATCAGATTGATTCCTCTTTACAAGATCTCGATTAATTCTTAGTGCATATTTCGTAATCCAAGTACATAAGAAAATATATTCTTGTTAGTAGTTTCTTTTGTGTCTGAGTTATCCATTTTTCTTTCTGTGCATATTCAATTGGAGCTTTAACTTATAATCCAATTTTGGAATCATTCTATCTTGTCAATTTTAGTGTCCTTTGGTCACAAAAACAAAATATGTTCAGATCTAACCACATATCTTGAGCAGTGTGGTTATCTCTTAGCGGGGAGTGTTTTCATTAGATAACTATTGAGGTCACTGACATTCTTTCAACTGAGCCCTCCCCATCTGGAATCAGCTGTTGTTCAATTTACCTGCGCTGCCCAGTGATCCTCTCTAATCTGTAGTTCTTATCACACTCGCGGGAAAGTTCTTCCAAATCACACCATATGGGAACTTACCCCCTGAATCGGGAACGGGGCATATACTTGTGAGGCAGCCTTAAATTAGTAGGCACTAGCGCGGGGAACTTTTTCCCTTCGACCACAGGCCACTGACTGTTGGCACTAACTGAGGAGAAGGAGATCCCAGCCCAAGCGTTTAAGAGATCGACTGGTGAACCTAAACTGTTCTGGGAACGCAAGTCTTAATATACTAACTGTTCGGCTTACCAATCAGCACTGCATAACAGGGG